TGTCAAGAAGAAAGGGTCATTTTGCACATAATTCACCGCTGGTGTTTCTGGCAGAGCGCTGGGAGCGTTGCTTTCACTCTCCCCTTGCACTGGGGAGCCACGAGGAGAAGTCATTTCGGATGGGGAAGCAGGTGAGCCCTGCAAGCCTTAAAATCTGGGAGGTTTTGGTTCAGTTCGTGACACAGCTGGAAATTCCCTCCCCGGCCTCATGTGGTGGCTTAGCCTACCCGAGTCTTATTTTTCCAGCCCTAAAATGAGAAGTAATTTGCTCTTGTCTCAACACCTTCCTCTGCTTTCTCTATTTTGACTTGAAGAGCTCAAGGGAGGGACTGTTTTTACCGGGTGTACACACGGAGTGGAGCATAATGGAACCAGGATCTTATCAAAGGCACGCCAATGCTATTGTAATGCATACAGTAATTATAGGGATGTATATGGAGGGATGATGAAAAAAAACCCAATGAAACATGGCATTTCCCTCTGGAAAAAATGTTAGTGAAGTAAAACCACGCCTGGGAGTATGTCAGTTCCAGCAAAAAATGTCTATTAAAAATTATGCAGTGCTGCTCAGCAAGGTCACAGCGCTCCTTTTAGAGCCAGTTAGAGGTTTCCTTGCAAAGCAGCACATCAGGATTTTTTTTTTTCCCTGCAGACTTTTAGCCAAGGTGTTGTGTTTTGGGCTTTTATTCAGATTTAGGGGCAGAAAAAAATTGAATTTCATAAAAATTTTGCAGGAATTTCTGCCGAAAGGAGCCTTCTGCATGGAGGGATGGTGTCCCTGGTTGACACCAGGTATAAATATATATTTATATATTATTTCCAGTGAATAACTTGTCCCCCCATCCCTATCTCAGGAGTGCAGCCCTGCTATCTGCATGTTCCTATCAGCCCAGCATGTAGATATGGACGAGTGTAATGGAGATATTAGGCATTTATTGCAAGGCATTCTGTTGAACATCACCTGCTGCTCAACATGAAAAGTTGATGTTCCCAAAGCCACAAGCCAAAGGCTCCTTAAGAGCTGTTCTGGTGCTCTGGTAAATATCCGTGCTCAGAGCAGGCGCTGTGTGGATTAATAATGCATGGAGCAAATCTGTAGGAAGAGCAGCGACTGCGTAGGGCTGACTTAGAAACTGCTCTCCCTGCTTAGGCAAACAGGCAGGGAAGTTGTGTTTTTTAAAGCATAATGTGTTGGTAATAAACCAAACCAACCTAATTGACCATTTCCAGCTGCTCCAAGCGCAGTCGCTGGCTCGGCAAGCTGGGGGTCAAAGGAGCTTTGCCAAGGGTGGTAAAAATTGCTGTGTGGCATCTCATGGTAGGCAATTTATGCAGGTGGAATGGTGGGGAGGTTGAGATGGGGTGGGATTAGGAATCTTTCCCCCTTTGCAGGGGTTTTCTATCAGCTGGTGGTCGCTGGAGCAGCAGTGGGTTTGTGCTCCCAGCCCTGATATCATGACAAGATTAAATCCTCCACATCCTGTATTTGGCTCTGGAGAAGTGTCCTGCTGCACCACCGGGTCATTAATGCCACTGTGCTCATTAGCTCTCGCTGTCCTAATGAGCTGGGAGGTGCTGCAGGCCCTGGCAGGGTGTGGAGGGCTCCTGGTGGTGCCAGGAGCTGGTGGTGGATCCACTGGACCTCCTCAGGGTCTGTGGGTTGAACCAAGCCTTGGGTGGGGACAGGAAGGAGAGCTCAGAGCCCTCTGCAGCAGCCTGCAGCCACTTTCTGGCAACTCCCCGTGGAAATTGGTGGGACACAGCAATGGAGGTGCTGGGGAGCACCCAAGGAAGGGTGAATGCATCTTGTCTGTGGCTGGGGACAGTGTCACTCTTTGGCTGCTGGCAGGGACGTGCAGGCATCAAACAGGGCAGGTGGGAGCACCCAGCCTGAGCTGCCAATCCCTCCCAACGTTTGACATTTGAATTCTTGTCAGATCTGAGGATGGGGCTTGAGCAGAGGGACCTGTGCTTTGTCACCTTCCTGCAGCGCAAGGACTGGCCTGGATCTGACTCAGAGAGTCCCTGGGTGATAGAGAGAGAAACACAGCTGGATTTCCAAGAGTTCGCAGCCAAGTCTTCTTCTGAATTGCAAAGTGAACAGCTCAGATTTTTGGAAACCTCTGAGGAGGCATAAATACAAAAAGCCAGAATATCTTTAATTTTTTTTCCTCTTTGTCATTTTTCTCCTGGCTATAATGTTGTTTGAAGGGGCTGTGAGTCACCCCGAGCAATCAAATGAGACATCCTTATCACTTATGAAAATAATATTTAATGTGATAGTTTTTATTTAGGTTGTTTTAAAGGGGTCTCTGTGGGTTCTGAGCCTCAGATATTCTTTTTATTGGACAAAGGGTGGAATAATTTAAGGTTTTTGTTTCAAGGACCTCTTCTGTGTGGGCATGTGGGTGTCATGCTCTTGATGCTGGGTTGTGGTGTGGACAGATGTGTTTGGTTTGGGAATCCTGAAGTGGAGAGAAGCCTATTTTATTTCTGGTGTTGTGAAATAGGGACCAGTGGTTGGCATGGGCAAGGAGCTGAGGTAACAGGAGTGTGTTCAATCCTAAACTGGGTCCAAGGGGCCCAGATGCTGCTCAGAGCAGGGGCTTGGTGTGAGGAATCAGATGAGCATGGTTACAGCATGGAAAACCCCCCTTGATCTGGACTAAAAGGAGATTTCTGCTCCAAACTGAAGAGGTTTTCCTTATTAAATTTGCTTCTAGAGCCATTTCCACGTGGGTTTAGGTGCACAAGGGGAGGAGGCTTGTAGGGCCTGTCCTGCAGAGATCAGCCCCCCAGGAGCAGGTGCCCCTCTTCCTTTGGGGCCAGGCAGGTGGGACGCAGGGTGGGTGGGTGTGTGAATCCCTCCCACCACCGTGCAGCTGGGGAAACTGAGTCACAGCACTGCTGCAGCTGCTCCAGGAGGGATTCACCCCCTTTCCCAGAGGGGAAGAGCTTTGGGGGGGTTTCAAGGGTGCTCTGGGGGTGTGTGGGTGATGGAGCAGGGAGGTGAATGCTAAAGGGAAATGTGGGGGGTGCAGATGCTGGGGGAATTTAGGGGGATGCAGATGCCCAGGGGATGTGGGTGCTGGCTGCCAGGGGAGTTTGGGGGGATGCTGGAGCTGGGGGGATGCAGATCCAGGTGGAGGGGGTGCAGATGCCCAGGGGATGTGGGTGCTGGCTGCCAGGGTAGTTTGGGGGGATGCTGGAGCTGGGGGGATGCAGATGGAGGGGGGAACCCTGGGGGCTGCGGCTGCCAACACTGAGGGGGATGTGGATGCTGAGGGATGGGGTGGTGCAGATCCTGGTGGGATGAGAGGGCTGCAGATGCCCCGGGGGGGCAGTTTGGGGGTGTGGATGCCCGGGGGGCAGTTTGGGGGTGTGAATGCTCGGGGGGCAGTTTGGGGGTGTAGATGCCCGGGGGGGGCAGTTTGGGGGTGTGAAGGCTCGGGGGGAAGTTGGGGACTGTGGGTGCTGACAGTGACAGGGGTGCGGGTGCTGGTGGGGTTAGGGGGATGCAGAAATTGGGGGTGCCGATGCCGGCGGGGTTCTCGGGGTGTCTTTGCCGCGGGGGTGTGGGTGCTGGGGGTCTGGATGGTGCTGGGGTTAAGCTGTGCAGATGTTGGGGGTGCAGATATTGGGGGTGCCGATGCAGGGGGGGTGCTCAGGGCGTCTTTACTGCTGGGCTGCGGGGGTGTGGATGCCGGCAGGGTGCGGGTGCAGATGTTGGGGGTGCAGATATTGGGGATGCCGATGCCGGCGGGGTTCTCGGGGTGTCTTTTCCGCCGGGGTGCGGGTGCTGGGGGTCTGGATGCTGGTTGGGTTAGGCGGTGCAGATGTTGGGGGTGCAGATACTGGGGGTACCGATGCCGGCGGGGTTCTCGGGGTGTCTTTTCCGCGGGGGTGCGGGGGTGCGGGTGCCGGCAGGGTCCGGATGGTGCTGGGGTTAGGGGGATGCAGATATTGGGGGTGCCGATGCTGGCGGGGTTCTCGGGCTGTCTTTGCCGCTGGGGTGCGGGTGCTGGGGGTCTGGATGGTGCTGGGGTTAGGCGGTGCAGATGTTGTGGGTGCAGATACTGGGGGTGCCGATGCTGGCGGGGTTCTCGGGGTGTCTTTGCCGCGGGGGTGCGGGTGCCGGCAGGGTCCGGATGGTGCTGGGGTTAAGCGGTGCAGGTGTTGGGGGTGCAGATATTGGGGGTGCTGATGCCGGCGGGGTTCTCGGGGTGTCTTTGCCGCCGAGGTGCGGGTGCTGGGGGTCCGGATGGTGCTGGGGTTAGGCGGTGCAGATGCCGGGGGTGCAGATATTGGGGGTGCCGATGCTGGCGGGGTTCTCGGGGTGTCTTTGCCGCGGGGGTGCGGGGGTGCGGGTGCCGGCAGGGTGCGGGTGCAGATGTTGGGGGTGCAGAAATTGGAGGTGCCGATGCTGGCGGGGTTCTCGGGGTGTCTTTGCCGCGGAGGTACGGGGGTGCGGGTGCCGGCAGGGTCCGGATGGTGCTGGGGTTAGGCGGTGCAGATGCCGGGGGTGCAGATACTGGGGGTGCCGATGCTGGCGGGGTTCTCGGGGTGCCTTTGCCGCGGGGGTGCGGGGGTGCGGGTGCTGGGGGTCTGGATGGTGCTGGGGTTAGGCGGTGCAGATGTTGTGGGTGCAGATATTGGGGGTGCCGATGCCGGCGGGGTTCTCGGGGTGCCTTTGCCGCGGGGGTGCGGGGGTGCGGGTGCCGGCAGGGTGCGGGTGCCGGCGCGGGGGGGCCCCGCAGCCAATGAATGCTGCGCGGGGGCGGCTGCGTGCGCGGCCGGCGGCGTGTTGCAGCCGGGCGGCGTGTGCGGGCCGGAGCGGCGGGCACGCAGCGCCTGTCCTCGCACCTGCAACCCCTTCCGACCCCTTTCCCCCCCCTTTTTTTTTTCTTTTGGGTTTTTTCCCCCCTCCCCCACCCTTCGGTGCTTTTTTCCTTTTTTTTTTTTTTTTTTCCCCTTCCTTTTTCCTTCCCCCCCCCCCGCCCCTCTTCCTGCGCTTTGCTCCGGGAAAACGCTGGATTTTAAACCTTTCCCTGCCCGGCAGTGAGTGGGGAAGGAGAAGGAAAACCATGGCCCAGGCCAAAATGCACCACCCCGTCTCTTGGGTGATCTTCGCCGGGATGGCCGCGCTCCTCCTCCCCCAAGGTAGGGAACGCCGCGGGGGACGCAGCCCGGGCGGGCGGAGGATGCGCGGTCCCACAGCAGCACCCTCCGAGGGGGCTGGGGGATGAGAATCCCCCCAGAGTGGGGATGAGGGTCCCTCCAGAGCGGGGACAGAGCTGGGAAATTGTCCCCAGCCCGCCGTGAAGTTGCGGGGGATGCGGATGCGGGTGCGGCGCAGGAATTCCCGGTGCACCGGGCTGGCGGCGGGGGGGACACCGCTCCCCTGGCGTCCTGATTATCTTTGCGGGTGCAGGAGGACTCTGCCATCCCAGCACGATTCTGGCAGGATCAGTGATCCAACAGGCGGGGGGGCACGGTGGGGGGACCGGGGTTCCTTCGTGCTCCCCCCACGCCTTTGCTTTTCCAGCAAGGTCGTCCGAAAAACTCGGTGCAGCCCCGCTCCCGCCGGGCTGGGAGTTGGGAAGTCCTGGTCCAGTCTGTCCCGGATCAGCACGGCTGCCTCCCCCCAGCCGGGGGACGGTGCTTGGAGGGGAGGGGGTGCTGTGCAAGGGAAAAAAAAAAGAGCAAAAAGCGATGGGAAAAGGAGGGGGGAAGAGGCGGCAGGAGCGAGCCCCATCTGGCCGGGAGCGCCGAGCCTGTCAGCTCGCGTTAGGCTCCTCGCAGCCATCTGGAGGGGCTGTGGGAGCGGGGTTTCCTCCATGGGAGGAGAGGATGGAGCCGCATCCTGCCCCGGGCCGCCGCGGGAGCTCGGGATGCGCAGGGGATGCGCCAGGGGGATGCTGCTGCGCCTGGACCGGGGCTCCGGGGCGGGATGCGGGCACTTCCCGGGGACACGGATGCACCCCGGGAGGGGGATGCAGGCGCTCCTTGGAGCAGGGATGCACCCCCGGGGCGATGCGAGCATTCCTGGGCCAGACGGATGCAGCCCGGGGGGCTGTGGGGTCTCCTGAGGATGGATGCGCCCGGCGGGGTGAATGCACCTCCTTCTCCACAGGCGGATCCTGCTCCCTCTGCGCTGCTCCCCGGTGCCCGCGGAAGGCTGGGGATGTCCAAAGCAGCCCAGCCTCGTCCCCCGTGTGCCGAGGAGCGCTGCAGCAGGAGCCGGGCGGGCTCTGGGAGCCCAGCGGCTGCGGGGCTGGGGGCTGCGGGGTGGCCAGGGATGCTCACTGCGTGTCTCCCACCACAAACTTCTCTCTGCTGGGCAAACCGGGCCCGCCGCTGCTGCTGCGGGGGGAGAGCCCCCCGTGCCGTATCGACCGGCACAGGCTGCTTAACATGCACATCACACGGTGCCGAGGCATCGCTCCTCTTCGCCTTCCTCCCGCTCGCCGTCTCGCAGGGCTGCTGCTGCCCGCCCGGCATTCCTGCATCCCAGGGGCTTCCCCCGCTCCCAGCCCTGCAGGGAACCCGGGCGGGGTGTGAAGGGTCGGGGCTCCCCAGGAGAGGGATGAGGCTGCGCCTTTCCCTCCTCACTTCTCCTGCTCGGAATTGAGGCTTCATTTGTTTTATTATTTCATTATTTTATTATTTTTTAATGCTTGCTTTGGGGCTCCTCACCTGGCTTCCTTGCAGTCTTATTCCATGCCTCTGGTTATCCTTCCTGCTTCCTTTCCTTGCTCCTATCAAAGCTTCCAGATCAAAAAGTAGTTGGTTTTTTATTTCTTTATTTATTATTTTTATAACTCTCCTGGGCAGCAGAGCAGTGGGGAGGAATGTGCTGACTCCCTGAGCCCAAAATCCCCCAATTCCCTGCATTTCAGGAATCTGATGTGGGTGCCAGAAGTCCCTGAGTCACTCTTGGAGTGAGGGAAAGCAGGGAGCCACGTTATTCTGTGGGCTGGGGAGGACCCCGGGCAGAGCTGTGGGGAACTGGGTGAAATATTGCCCAGGGCAGCCTTTGGCAGCAAAAAGTTGGGGCCTTTTTAGGGCTGGGAGTTGCTGCATTGTTGGAAGGAAAGAGTCCCCTTGGGAGGTTTTTTCTTGCGTAATTTTATTTAAGAGTCATTGAAAAAACCCCTCAAACACACCCTACGAATAATTTTGTATTTTAGCACAAACTTTTAAAGAGAGTTTTGAGAAATTTGGGTTCATTTAAGCCCAAGGTAATATTTAGGTTTGTATGCAGTGCTGAAAATCAGCAGTAATGTGCTTCTGCTTCATGAATTCTTCTGCTAATCCCAGCAGTTTTTGGAATTCATAAGTTTTCCCCTTTGTTTGGTGTCCAGAAGTGGAGCTGCCTTGTGTTTGAAAAGGTGAAAATAATTGTCATGCAAGAAAACTGTGTTTGGCACAAACCTCCTCCAAATATCTCCAGAGATGTGAGCTGCCCTCTGCAGCGGCTCATCCTCCCCTGGGTCATTTCCCTATTTCCAGCCAAACAAACAAGAAGAAAAGTGGTTTGTGAGTGTGCTTGAAAGGAAAGTGGAGCATGAAGTGGGATAATTCAGAGGCGTTTGACCACCTGCATTTATGCAAACATCTGTGGGTCCTCCGAGTTTTGCAGATTCACTTTTGTGGAAATTTTGTACATTTGTTGGATTTGTGGAATTGCGGCCCTAAAATGGGAGCCGTTGAGGGTTGTGTCCATCAGGAAAGAGCCCCCTGAGCCCTGGAATGTCCAGGGTGGTTGGACACCAGGGGAGCTGGAGAGAGAGGCTGGGGCATTTCTTGGATGCTGCATCCCTTGGGAAGGAGCTGCAGGTGTCCATTGCATCCACTCACGAGAAGGATGGATCCAGAAAATGTCCAGCCACAACTTGGGAGAGGAGATGGGAAGAGGGGAGGTTGCAGAGGGCTGGGATAGCCCCAGGCTTCGGGAAGTGAGCGGCAATTTGGCAACACAGCTCTCATTGTGTTTGCTCTGTGTCTTTCTTCTGTGTGATTTTTAAATAGCAGCAATGAAAATCCAAAATATCCTCACACAGGGCCCAGGCAGCAGAATTTTCCCTTCCCCCTTTCCTGGCTCAAAGCAAAGGGGTGTCCTCACTTATGCCCCATGTCCTTGACCCACAGCCCACCTGGATTTCTTAAGGAAGAGGCCAAAATCTCACCCCAGCACTCGGGAGTGGAAGAGACAAGAAAACTCTTCACTCAGCCACACGTAAAAGGATTAACCAGGCTAAAAGGTCATAGAAGATTTAGCTGGGCCTTTAGCATCAGTAAGCCAAGAATTATGGGAATTTGATTTACAAATTAGCATAAAGACCTTATTCTAATAAGCATACAAGCTGAAATAGGTATGTAAAATAATAGCATGTGTCAACATCCTACACAGAGCGTTCCTCATCCGAAAGAATTATTCGCTCGTTCGATGTGGCTGGGATGCAGATAATTCCCAAAGTGAGACAGGCTGTGCTGGTGTGTGATGGAAAGGCTGGATCTGACCCAGAGACACATCCACAGGCAGGAGGGGCTGGGTGCTTCCCCTTAGGAAAGGCAGGATTTGGAATCTGGGTTGGGGCTATGAAAAAAAAAAAAAAGTTATCCCCAAAAATGCTGTGCCTAAAAAATGCTATCTCAAAAAAGTGTCACCCCCCCCAAAAATGCAATCCCCCAAAAAATGCTATCTCCAGAAAATGCTGTCCCCAAAAAATGCTGTGCCCAAATATACTATCCTAAAAAATGCTACTCCCAAAAAATACTATCTCAAAAGAGTGCCACCCCCCAAAAAATGCTGTCCCCAAAAATACCGTCCCCAAAAAATGCTACGCCTGAAAAACGCTGTCCCCCAAAAATGCTGTGCCCAAAATTCTGTGTGAATTTTCTCTCAGTGGAGGGGTGAGGAGGAAACCTCGGGCTACTCCCAAAAAATATTATCCCCAAAAAATACTATCCCCAAAAAATGCTGTCCCCCAAGAAATGCCACCACCAAAAAATGCTGTCCCCAGAATCCTGTGTGAATTTTCCCTCAGTGGAGGGGTGAGGGGAAACCTGCTACTCCCTAAAAATGCTGCCCCCAAAAACCCCTAGCCCCCAATAAATGCTATCCCCAAAAAATGCTGTCGCCAAAAAATTCTACCCTCAGAATCCTATGAGAATTTTCTCTCAGTGGAGGGGTGAGGGGGAAACCTTGGGCTACTCCCAAAAAATCCTGCCCCCAAAATCCTGTGAGAGTTTTCTCTCAGTGGAGGGGTGAGGGGAATCCTCCTGGCAGCTCGTGCAGGAGGTAATTGCACTAATGAATGTGTATAAGAAAAATTACGTGTATCGACATCTTTTTGTGAATGCTCGGATTTATTGGTCCTCAGGAAAAATATTAGATGTGGTTAATAGTTATCACACAGGTCAATAAAACATGATATTCACCCCAACGGCAGAAAATAGCTTTTTAATAGGTAATAACAGTAATAATCAATACCTACATGATTAGATAACCCAGTTATATGCAGTACATAAAAGGAGGGGAATGCACTCTGCCTGCTCGATGCTGGATTTGGAGTGTGGCTGAACATCTGTCATTGCTGTTGATTCCCAGCAGGGCTGAGGAGGTATCAGCACCTCTGGAAATCAGGAACCACGTGGCATTAATTGGCACATTTTTAAGATTCATCAGAGCAAGCAGGAACCTGAGAAGACCTTTGGAAAGCAGCTGAGCTGTGCAAAACACTGGAGGCACCCAAACTGCTGGAAAGGGGATGGGATTTTGGTGTGGGTGGTGGAGCTGCAGGTGGGTTTTCCAAGTGTGTTGTCATCTTATTGCAGGGGTGCCATGCTGTTGTCTGCTTATCACAAAAGTTTCATATCTTGGTGTTTCTCCTGAGCCAGCCCCTCATACTGTTGGGTGCCACACTGTTGTCTCCTTATCACAAAGTTTCACACCTTCCTGGTGTTTCTCACGGGCATCTCCTCAGAGCACTGACTCTCTCTTCTTCACAAAGCACCCAACTGACTCCAGTTCCCTTCTCAAGGGGCCAACCACTCTTTTATGGCATCTTCTTCTCACTGGGTACAGCTCTGGCCTGTTAAAGTCAGGCCTGCTCCTAATCTTTCATAATTGGCCCAGCTGCACTCCTTAGGGGTAA